TATATATATATATATATATATATATATATATATATATATATATATATTTCATGAGCAGAAATATTTTGACCTCTAACAACATTTTCTTTTCGTGAGGACATTTACATCCATGGAGTCTATACACACGTTTCATGTAATTTTTTAGCTATGACAACGAGCTTCAATCATGGATGGTGGGAATCAAATGAGCTCGATGACTAGCTAGCTAGTGAGGGAGTTGACCGGTCAGCCTTGCTGATTGTCAATAGTGGTCACAATGATCTGTCCCTCCCCTGATCAATATTTCCCAGTTTTCTGAAATTATGTAAAAATATACCTGTAAATGATTACGTAATCAATGAGTCAAAAAGTCAAACCGTTTAAAATTAGTCGTTTTTAAAAATCTGTTTACTTTTTTTGTTGAAAACAATGTGAGAAATCAATACATGTTCTTATACTGATGTACTGTGAATGTAAGTATTGACGTATGCTCTTCTGTAGGTGACCTGCTTTAGCATTTCGTAATTATATTATATTGATTATTGTGTGCGCATCTATCAAGCATTTTTCAGCATTGAAGTTTTCTCTTTGTAGGTGCACTTTTGCTTTACCATTTCCTAATTTTATTGTATTCGTTATTGTATGTGTGTCGATCAAACATTTCAAATGTTTCGTTCACGCATTAATGTGTAGGTGCGTTTGGTGTATTTTGATTATACCTTTCCATTAGGTTTCCTAAATAGCAGATCAACTACCGCTTTGGATTTATTTTTTCTTCTGTTGCTGATTATTTTTTGTTTTGTTTTTTTTGAAATTCTCACCGTGACTTGCAAACTGCTTTTGTTTCTTTAATATGAAGTTCTCAACATAATCATGGTAGCCCAGTAAGTTTGAGGGGTATCCATGCTTTCTAGTTTTAATAGAACCTAATTGTTGTACCTTTTGTAATTGGAAGCTGTTGTTGGGAATGGTTAATCATTTTGAATCTTCGACTCCCTCGACTTTTGCATTATGAAATAGATGTTGAATAGGTATTGAATTCATGCTGCTTGTTGAAACTAAGAAGCTGAAACAGTACAGCATAACTAGCGATGAGAGAATTGCTTAAGCCTCAAAAGTCTGAGGCACTATGTGGAAGGGCCCTTGGGAGCTAAAGTAACTATATCCTGGTGGAGTGGAATGGTTCTCAAAGGATTCCAGTGTTATTTTTATCGAGATTACATCATGAAACTCCTTGATGTGGGACTGAGCCACAACTTAATTGTAACATTAGGGCTCAACAATAATGAAAGATAATCATCGTCATCATCATCAGAGCCTTTTTTCAACTATTTTGGGTCAGCAACATGAATCCTGGTCTCTATTATACTTAATCAAGGGCTATACCCTCAGTGAGGCCATAAGTCCCCATATATTTTCTTGCTACTTTCAACTATAGTTACCTGAATCTCTCACCGAAGGTCGCAATTCCGATTTGGAACCCTGATTCTGTGATTCCGACTAGGAATCTTCGCGAAACCTGTTTCCATGAAGGCTAGAATCTCTTCCTGATTCTAGGAATATTGATTCCAATACGTATAGAATCTCATTTCCAAACTGGTTTCAACATTTATCCAAATTCTTCCGCTCTTCCCCCCCCCCCCCCTTTCATTCTTTTTCTTGTTACTATTTTTTCTAAAAAGTGATGTTTAGAAGTTTCCAAGGTATTAAACTACTCGAGCTAGATGCTCAATCTCAAGCTACAAATTGTCATCATCTTTTTTGGCATGATATGATCGATAGAAGCCAAAGTGGTGGTCCACATTCTCCACTTAGTTCTTTAAGTATGCATTGTGTTGGTCCAATGGAGAGATTGCAACTCCAAAATGTTAGAAATAATTAATAATGCAAACGTGCATGTATGGCATGTCGGTCAATGAATGGCATTGAAATATGTATTGTTTCCCTCTCAGTTCCCTCTCAATTCCGAAGATGTTGAGATTTTGATTCCATATTGGTCGATTCCAACTAGGTCGGAAACTCGACTCAAAAGAGCTAGGAATCTTGATTCCATCTGTGTAGGGATCAAAATTCCATTTTTGTTGAATATCGATTCCTAAAAATATGAATCTCTTCCCCAATGATTCTTCTTGTACAGACGTCGATTCCGAAACGGGAATCTTCTAGCCAACAGTGATTTTGCCCTCTGATTCCTAAATCGAGTCGGTATCCGAATCATTTCGGGTAACTATGCTTTTAACCTTGTTCTTTTGGGCTCACCCCTTGTCCCTTTTGAGTCTTCCATTTGAACCAACTTGCGCCTCTTAATAGGTGTTGTATTGGGTCTTCGCTGTACATGACTAGCCCACCTAAGTCTAATTTCTCTCATCGTATCGGCTATTGGAGCTACACCGAAGTTCTCCCGAATGTATTCATTTTGAATGCCATTCATGTCTTGCTTCTCATCCATCTCAACATCCTCGTCTCAACGACGCTCATTCTATGGGTATGTTATTTTTTGACTCCCCAATATTTAGTCCCATAAAGCAGAGATAGTCTCGCAGTTGTCTTAGAGAACTTCCCCTTTGGCTTTATTGGTATGCGACGATCACATAAAACTCCGGTTGCACATCTCCAATTCGCCCACCCAACCCTAATTCTATGTGTAACATCTTCTTCAATCTCTCCATTTTAAAAGAAAGATACTCAATAGCACAAAAAATGTCTAATAGAGGTAGGCCTTGAAATCGATTCCCAAACTGTGAACACCATGACACTTCAATTAAAGTCATATCTCAAAGACGAGTTGTTGGCATGAAATCTCGGGGTTTTTAATCCTCCTATTGTGACATAGGGCAAAAATAGTTAATCAGGAAAATAAAAATAAAAAGAAATAGTTGAGAGGTTATACCCTCTCTCAGGGTCTACAAGGGAGTCCACCCCAAAGATATCTTCACATGATAAAAAAAAGGCTCTTTCTTTACTCATTTCACCTTTTGTTTATAAGGAAGGGTCCTTCCCTTTAATTATATGTTAAAAAAGAAGAATAAGATAAATAAAACCCCCCAAAGTACTCTCTCTAAATAACTCACGTACTTCTCTCTATCATTAGATCCATTTTCTTAGGAGATATCCGCTCCCACTCTTTTCCCATGTTTTTCCCTATCAACATCCCTTCAAAAGTAGGACTCTTCTCATTTTAAGTAACACACCAACTCCCAAATCCCATACTTTAGGATCCCATCTCATGTGAGATTCTTCTTTCAAAAGTCATCCAATTAACTTAGGCTTCATGCCACAAAAAGAGTCAATGTCAAAGAAACACCATGAAATCCTACAGTCTAGGAAAATGGCTTGCCAGTCCTAAGAATGCTAGAATGAAATCCCATAAAAAAAATTTAAATTTAAATTTTTTTCCCTAGTTTGTAGGATTGAATGGAGTCTCTTTGGCATTGGGTTCCTCTTTTTGTCGCATGAAGCTTAGCTGGTTGGGAGTCCTTTGAAAGAAGGATATTACAAGAAATGGGATGCTAAACTGTAAGGTTTGGTCTCTGGTGTGTTACTTTAATTGAGAAGAGTCCTATTATCATGAGATCAATGATTTAAAAAGCGGACCGTTGAGCGCTTAGGCGGCCGCCTAGCGCCCAGCCTTGGGCAGCCCGCCCAAGGCCTGCGCCTCGCCTAGAGGCGGAAAACTTTTTTTTTTTTTTTTCATTTTTTTCAAAGATATAAAAGTTAAGAATGATGGCTTTTAGATTCATTTGAACCCTAAACCCACCAGACCTTTTAGAGTAACAAAAACCTCCAAAAAACTACATTTCATTGGATCGAATCATCGAAGTGTTTCTCAAAGTTTGGAGTTCAAGCATCCAAAGTAAGTGCATTTTTAAGATTGCTTGTTTTATTTTGAGATGTCTTCTTCAGGAGTTAGTCGGAGTGGAGATCCGGGTTGGAAATATGGATAAAACTTGAATCCAAATGACAAAAATTGCGTTAGTTGCAATTTTTGTGAAAAAGATACAAAAGGAGGCATAAACCGGTTTAAGAAACATCTTACCGGTATTAAGGGGGATGTTGTCCTTTGTAAATATGTTCCTGAAGTTATCAAGGAGGAGATTAAGCAATTTTTAAGTTATGGAAAACAAAAACAAGAACAAAATCCTTGTCATAGATCTATTTTTGCTACTCTTAGAAAAAGTGATCCGGGTTGGAAGTATGAGTACAACTCAAAACCAAATGATAAAAATTGTATAAGGTGTAATTTTTATGAAAAAGATACCAATAGGGGTATTAGCCGATTCAAA